TAGAAAAAAAAGCCACACATTGTTTGCAAGTGCCGTTTATGCTTCAACTGCAAAATTAAGAAAACTATGCCATACTGAAACCATAGCAGTTACATGTGCCCACACTACTAGTCACTTCTGAGAATTCCTCCTTATTTAGCACTTCAAAGAAATCATTTCTGGATCAAAGTAGTGGACTAACACGTACAGGAGGAATTACTAAAAATAAGAGCAGCTAACATTTATAGAAGTTTTACCATATGCCAAGTGCTTTTCTTTCATTACCTGGTGTAACCCCCACAACTGTGGTAAGAGATACTTGGTCATCATCTCCATTTTACAGATGAGGAAACCAAGGCTTAGGGCGAGGCCACTGCCCAGCTCACACAAATAAAAAGGGGTGAGCTGGTCTGCAAGAATAGTTGAAAAGCAAGCTATATGTCAACTTCTTAATTCTCTGTATTAGGGTAACATAAAAATAAAATCAACCACACAGTTGTAAGTAACAAAATATAAGCAGAATATATCTAAGTTCAGTAATATAACCTGTATATTTTTCCCCTCTCAAGTAAGATGTAAGGAACTTCACGGTTCCTTAATTCTATGATTAAAAGGCACATCACTGGCTCTCAAGAACTGAAGCCCCTAGTCACATTCCAATTGATATGTAGCAGAACAAAATGTTCTTTGGGGTATTTTTTATCATCTCTGGCCATCAAAATACATCGCACAGCAAAGCGACTGAACAACGGTGAACCAAGACTCGCACAATGCTAACTTTAGTGTTTACCAGAGTGCATTTAAGAGTCCTTTCAATTTGCCCATACTAGAAGAAGGCATACCCAGGATTAAGGTGGAAGGGAATCAAATATATTCTCTAAAAGGCTTCTTTATTTTCTAAACACTCCGTATTGTGAAGAGAATTTGGTAGACGACTACAAGATAACAGGATGGAAAGAACTGTGATTCACAACATGATTTTAATCGGGAACAAAGTATATCAAACGAACCATCAAACAGGCTACTGCATTCTGCATTAATTGCAAACCAGAAGCACTGGAATTCACATTCATTTTTAACTATTCTTGGAAGATGAAAATCAATTACACCATCCAAGATTCAGAAGTGTTCTTCCTTGAAAAGTACACAAGAAACAAACTAGGCTAATATTCTGAAAAATGTTTGTATCCAAAACTTAGACAGGGTAGGGGGCGGGGTATGGGTAGGAAGACACACTAACGTCTCTCAAAAATTTTGCTCCAAAGATTTCACAGAAGATTTTTGGTAGATATATTTTCATTTACTTGTGGCTGTTAGCAAGTCTGCAAAGCAATGCCTTAAAACATACTAGAAATCAGAAAGAATTCTTAAAAATACAAGAGAAAAGACAGACATACCCTAAATGAATTTAAGTTCTATAATAATAATGTAACAAAAACACAGTAAAATCATATAAAAACAAATGAGCAAACTAAAATATACCTATTCAAACAAGCATTTCATCTCTGCAAAACAATTTGCTTCACATAAAAGTCTGATTTGGCTCTCAGTTTAAAAAGTTATTAAAACAATACATCAGCCCTCACAGGCAAGACCAAACTGTAACACAGTTTTACATCTTTATCAAAAGATCATTCAGAGAAAACTTACCAAGTCTGCAACGTGTAGACGCTTGTGCTTCGGAGGGAAAGCAGAGAAGTGACTTTCTGTACTTACAGTGGCGTCACTACAGTGCTAAAAACACATCCCCACAGCCCTGACTGGAAGAAAGTCCTGACTAGCAATCTCTCTTTGGGTTGGGCTTTTCTCTTACAAGATAAGCTGTTAAGTCACGCCTTGATTTTAGATCTGCTAACATATGGAGTCTTCTAACCTAGCCCCTCTCCGTGTGCCCACCCCCACCCGCGCTGCACCCCCCCATCACTACTCTGCTCCACTCCCTCTCCACACACACACACACACACATACAAAAAAGGCACTGCAGGGCAGAAATTCTTCAGGTGCTCGCTAATGGAATTCCCAGGGTCTTGGAGCCGCTTCGGGGATCAAGAGATCTCGTAGCCCCCGCTGGGGTAAGGAGCAGCGAGTCTGTTCCATTTAATCAAATACAGAATGAATTTTCAGCTCTATTCACTAGCTTGTCTCCAGGGCTCTCAAAAGGCACCAGGCAGCTAGAATCACACACATGTGGCTCTTTTAGGCAAGTATAATTAGTTTGATTTTAAAAAGCCACATTAATAATATCACCTCAGGACCATTATTCAGGGGACAGATGACAATGATACTGTATGTTTTAAGCCTAACAATGGGGGAAAGAGGACAAACAATGAGGGAAAACTTGAAGGATTAAAAAAAAACAAAACCAACAAACCAGTTTTTCATTTAATTGTAATCCAATATTTTTAAAGTGACATTGAGTATATTCCACATACCGTCTCTTAATTTTAACTGAAAAGAATGAAGTGAAGCCGTCCTCCTCACTCTCTTGAAAGTGAATTAGCACCACACACACAACAAAAATTTATAAGTGGAATGTTTACAAATAAATGTAATGTTTACATACAATATAAAATTTTAAATAAAAACAATCAAACATACTCTAACTCAATCCAACTTAAAATTTCCTGGGGAAAAAAAAAGCACCAATGAAAAAACACTGTAAAATCAAGTCCTTTAAAGCAATCTATTTAGCAACCAAACTCCAAATTCCCTTTCTAATCTAATTGGTTCCTATTAAGTAATAAGATCATATGTCTACGGACAGACTCCTTGGTAGACAACCCCTCGAGTCTTCCGATGTGTTGTCTTATCTAGGCTTCTACCTGGTGCACACGCTAATAACACTGCGAGAGCTAATGTAATTACATGTTTACAAATAACAAATTTTTCAATTAGTTATTTTTCATTTCCTATCCCCAGCCTGAGTTCACTAAGATAATGTTTAATTCCTGAAATCATTTCCCAGGATTTTACTCAGGAACAATCACCCATTTTCAGTCTAAACTCTGCAAAAGAACCATTTCTAGAGAAGAAAAATTTTACAACTTATATTTTGACAAAACCATACATGAAATTGTCTAGAAAGTCATGAAAGCATAAGAGCAAAGTGGAAAATAACAGGCAAGCAGGAGGACTAGTCAGCAAACTTTACCTGATCTCGAGAGCAAAGCGCTGTGACAGAAGTTCCTATAGCCACACAAAGCTCTCCTCTATATACACCTTGCAGCTCTGGGTTGGGGGGAGTCCTATCTTAAAGTGAACTTAATTCCTTTCATGCAAAGTCAAACCACCTGCAAAGAAGGCAAGGAGTAAGACTGATTTAGAAGCCAACCTACACAAGCTAGATCAGTGCGCTCCAAGTCCTAAGGGTTCTTTGTACTTCGAGGCTGGAGAGTCAGAGCTGTTTAAGTACTTTCCGCAGAAGAGGAGGTTGATGAGAACCAAAGCAATCAATCAAAGCATCCCAAGTGAGTAACCACACAAACAATAGCACAGTACTTCTAGTAACTGATTTCCTGGTTGACTAAACTATTCAAACAAAGACCGGTTTCCCAAATACTATATCCGAGTTTTTGCATGAAAGTTAAACAATATACACTTGTGTGTTTTTTATGGAAATATAAATGTTTCTGCTCTATACACTGCCAAACACACACCCAGGGCACGTCTTTACAAAATGAAACAGGTTTTCTCCATCCTTCTCATATAACTTAAAGTATGAGGCAGTTTATTTCAACATGTGCATAACAGAAACTACAGTATTTGGTGCCTCTCTGGGTTCCTAAGAATGCTTTCTTAGTTAAGCACTAATTTAAAATTTCCAGAAATTTACTGAAATTTTCTTTCATCTTGTCCTAAAAGTTGAACCACCTCCCACATTTTCAGCTAAAATAAACTAGCCCCCAAAAATGAGCTATAAAATGCAACAGAAGTTCAGAATTATGCCAAGAATAAACCCATTTCATCCTCCAGCCCTCTCCCCACCACCTCCTCCCAGACACTGTCCATTAGGTATGCCAAGTGTCAGTTGGGAGTCTGGGGCTTATGGTATCAGTGAGGCATGGAATCAGAATTAGCCTCTTTCATCTTCACTGGCCATTGCCCTGAGAATAAATCTCATGTTACCTTTTAGTCCAACCTTCTGTTTCTCAAGGTGTCTGATTTAGGACACAGAGGCTGACTTTCTGTTAATGAAGTTCCCTAAATTCTAGATCTCAATTGGAAAGCAGCCTGCCCTTAAAGCACCTGCCACCCTCTGTAGTCCAGACCAGGAAAAGCAGGCATTCTGGAGAAGAGCTTTTTTGGAGAGCTTTCCACCTGATTTGGTGGGGTTAGGGAAAACAATGAAGCGAAGGGCGAGAGAGTCTATCTATCCCTCTCAGTGATTTATTACTGAAATTCCTAAATGTGGAGAGAAAGCAACAAAGGTCTGGAAGCTGCAGACCGAAATAAATAGCAAGTCGTAATGTATTTAGCAAATGATAATGCAATCCACAGAAAGCTTTACAGAGGAGAAGGAAAAATACACTCCCTGGGGCTGGGAAGTCACTGAGTCTGTGAAGGCAGAGAAAGATACATTGTGCAGGAAATTTCTCTTGCTTCTCCCTACACATAAATCACTGTCTCTCGCGGGCGCTCTGCGGGGATGGAGGTTGAGAGAGGCGAGGGACCCCGCTCCCTTGGGAAAACGCGCTGGCGTCCCTTGCTCCCTGCTATGCTGCATCTCACCTGCCCCAGTGGATCATTGTCAAAGAGATTTAATCGTGTCACTGACACCTCTTCCCCGCCTCCTCCCACGAAGTGGCTCAGAGTCTCAGAGGACGCGGAACGTCGGAGCTCCCCGCTGGGCATCCATCAGCTGTTCTTCCCAGACCCCGCACGGAGCCCTGGACCCCCACGCCCCCCGGGCATGCTGGCCTGCCCGCTACCCGACCTCCCAATCCCAAGCCGCGTGGCCCCAAAGCGCGGTGTCCCTGGGCCACCCCTCCCTCCGACCCTGCCGTGGGACCCCAGCCCCGCACCTCTCAGCGGGGCAGGCTAAGCCCCCAGACCTCCTGCGCGGCAGCGGGCTGCGACAGCCACCCCCAGGTCATCCCCCGCGCGCTGGCGGCGGCTACGGCGGCGTCGGCGGCTGCGATCCGAACGGGCCCCTCCATGCACCAGGCAGGGCAGCGGGAGGGCGCGGCGCCTCGCACGCCGGGGCGGGGGCGCAGGGGCGGGCGGGTGGGCGACTGGCGCGGGGTCCCGGGTCTCCTCGCACCAAGCCGCGCGAGCCGGGCACCAGGGACTCAGGGGAGGGAAGCTGGGGGGGCGGGGCCACCGGGGTGCGGCCCCGCGGCCGCGCTCCTCCCCGCCAAGGCGCGCGCGCGCGCGCGCAACCCGGCGGGCGCGGGGCCAGCGAGGAGCACGCGAGGAGCGGGTGGGGGGAGCCGGCCGCCGAGGCCGCAGCGCCCGACGCCCCGCGCCCGCGGAGGGTGCGCGCGCAGCCTGCCAAATCAGCGGCGGGGGGATGGGCCGTACCAATCTGCGGAGGGGGGACGCTCTGGGCAGGCCCTTCTCCCGGTTCCCTTCCTGCTCGCTCTACGAGAAAGCCACCCAGGGAAGTAGAGCAGAGTCCCTGCTCTGGTTTAGGACAGGTGAGGATGAGCTGCCCTAGCAGCTCACAGAGATTCCCATCATGCCTGCACTCACTCTCCCTCCCTTCACTTCCCCGGGAGAGGCGGCATTTCTGGCCTGTCTACACGTTCCCCCGTTTCCCCGCCCCGGCCCCGCCCCTCACCCCTCTACCTAAGTTCTCTGCGAAGACGCAGAGTTCTTCCCCTCGCTTGGGTCTCGACTGGGATCTGCCTTAGGCGTCCAGCGTCCCGTCGCTTAGGGTTCTTTGGCCTTTTCACCACTTCCAGTGTTTAGTTCCTTGGGCGGCTCACCTGGTTCCCCAACCCGCCCTGCGCTCAGATACTCGCACGCGCCTAACAAAGCTGCCCAGGGACGAGGAGAGGCTCCGTGTGCTGGTGAAACCAGCGTGGCCTTTGGCCCCAGAGTCTTCCCAGCTCGTCCCTTGGGCCTGCCCCAAGTTATCTGATCCCTCTGAACTCCTGTTGTTCAAACAGAAAAAAGGAAAAATAATTTCTATTTAAATGGTTGTTGTGCAGCATAGATAGGATACTTAGTGAAAAGCACCTGCCACTCTGGGCGTTTGAGGACTCTGACTTCTGTATAATAACTATTATTAGCAGTTAGTTCATTTTTTTTAACATCATCATCGTTACTTACTATTTAACTACAAAAAGAGCCTTACTAATATTTGAAGTTCCCAAGCACTCAGTACCAAACTTCAGGAGAAATATGCCACTCCCCTCACCTTCTCACCTGAATTTCACAAAGAAATGCTTTGAAAGTGTGGTCGTGTTCAGACAATTTAGCTTTCTGCGTTAGCTACATACAGGGTCTTTGTGAAAGCATTAGGTCATAAGAAGGTCAGAACAAGGAAAAAAAGAACTCTAATTCTAGTTCGTTCTCCATTGTTCATATTTTACCTATTCAGACCAAGAATCTGTATGTTATTAACTTAAGGTATGGTAAATGATTTTTCATTCGGCAAACAAGAGGTCCTATAAACATTTGAAGGTTTAACTGAAATGAGATTTGTATGTGAATGGGATGGAAGTCTGGCAGGTTTCTCGTGGCCGTTTGTAAGACTCCCAGCCGTCAGAGTAGAGCAGCTCGGCTACAGACACTCCAGGCTCCTGTCTTGGGGCCCCATTGACTCTGGACACCCCCAAATCTCTCCGTGCCATATGAATATCACTGTGCCTCGTGTTACTCATAATCAGGCCTGAGCAATAATCAAGATGTTTGTTGATACTGATTACTCCCTTTCTGCCTTGTTTGTAAAGTGGAGAAATCATTTCAAGTGCAAAATAGTTTTTCATTAATTAATCGTTCTGTATTTGTTCGACATTTACTTTTTTCTTCTTCTTTTTTTTTTTTTTTTTTTAAAGATTTTATTTTTTCCTTTTTCTCCCCAAAGCCCCCTGGTACATAGTTGTATATTCTTCGTTGTGGGTTCTTCTAGTTGTGGTATGTGGGACGCTGCCTCAGCGTGGTCTGATGAGCAGTGCCATGTCCGCGCCCAGGATTCGAACTAACGAAACACTGGGCCGCCTGCAGCGAAGCGCGCGAACTTAACCACTCGGCCACGGGGCCAGCCCCTCTTCTTTTTTTTTTTTAAAGATTTTATTTTTTCCTTTTTCTCCCCAAAGCCCCCTGGTACATAGTTGTATATTCTTCGTTGTGGGTTCTTCTAGTTGTGGTATGTGGGACGCTGCCTCAGCATGGTCTGATGAGCAGTGCCATGTCCGCGCCCAGGATTCGAACCAACGAAACATTGGACCGCCTGCAGCGGAGCGCGCGAACTTAACCACTCGGCCACGGGGCCAGCCCCTCGACACTTACTTTAAAAGTATTTATTAAGCACCCACTCTATATCGCTGCTAGACAAAGAGGGACGTGGAGAAATCTGACACAGTCCGAAGCTTCAAAGAGGTCACAGTCTAATTGTGATACGGACACATAAATGGGTAAGTACACTGAGCATCTTTAGTGCTGTGGGAGCACAAGGGCAGTGTTGTTAACCCTGTCTGGAGTTTGAGGGGAGGGAGGGCGGCTTATCAAGAAAGACTTCCCGAAAGAAGTGACCTGTGAACCAAGCCTTAGAGGATAGTAGGAGTTGGCCAGGTAAAGGTGAAGGGGTGGGAGAAGCTGTAGGCAGAGGAGACATGAATAAAGGCATATAGGCAAGAAACAACAAGGCAGCTCTAAGGAACTGCAAGCTTTTCTTTGCGGTTGAAGTGTAAAGGGCCAGTAGGGGATTGGGAAGCGAAGGCGCTGCAGAAAGAAGCTGAAGCCTGATCACTGATAGCCGTCCATGTCATGCCAAGAAGCTGGGACTTTATCCTGTAGGCAATGGGGAGTCAATGCCGGGTTTTAAGTGGGAGTATGATATGATCAGCTTTGTGTCTAGAAAGATCACCTAGCAGCAATGATGAGGATAGATTTGAGGGAGCCAAGCCTGAGGTCAAAAAATTTGGAAGCTTCTGAAGCAGTACAAACGGTCCAGTGGGATCAAGAGACTGAACGAGGACAATACAGTCATGCACCACATAGCGACAGTGCGGTCACGGATGGACTGTGTGTACGGTGGTGGTCCCATAAGGTTAGTACATATGGCCTAGCTGCGTAGTAGGCTCTACCATATAGGTTTGTGTATGCACTGTATGGTGTTCATACAACGATGAAATCGCCTCACAATGCTTTACTGAGGACATATTCCTGCAGTTAAGCGACGTGTGACTAGTAGTAAGGACAGAGAAAAAATGGGAAGTTCCAGAAACAACGAAAATTTGGCAGGACTTGGAAACTGATTGGATGTGGAAAGTAAAGAAGAGAGGGGACTCAAAGATGACATCAGCCTTCTAGTCTGAGTGGATGGTGGTCACGCCCCCCCATTTCCCATGGTACCTGGGAAGAGAGTAATGCCCTGCAGGAGATACAGGTTTTAGGGGAACAATGATGTGTTCAATTTTCACCTATTATTTTATTTATTTATGTATGTATTTATTTATTTATTTGTTTTGTTTTTTTGAAGAAGAAGATTAGCCCTGAGCTAACATCTGCCGCCAGTCCTCCTCTTTTTTGGCTGAGGAAGACTGGCCGTGAGCTAACATCCATGCCCATCTTCCTCTACTTTATATGTGGGATGCCTGCCACAGCATGGCTCAACAAGCGGTGTGTAGGTCCGCACCCGGGATCTGAACCAGCGAACCCTGGGCCACTGAAGTGGCACGTGTGAACTTAAATGCTGCGTCACCAGACCAGCCCCAATTTTGAACCTTTTAAATTTGAAGTGCCTGTGGAATCTCCAAGTACAGGTGTCCACTAGATCAATAAGTCCAAGCTGGAGATATAGATTTGAAAGTTATCAGCATAGAGTATATTTATACCATGAAAATAGAAGTGATCCCTCTGAAAGAACATGGAACTCTAGAAAGTTGTGGCCAAGGATGGATCTCTAAAACCCCAATGACTAAAGCCCTCAATTATCCTGATGAATTTGGAGGGAAGGTTGTTTACTCAGCTTAAGGTGTGGGACTTGAGAAGGATGCTTGAGGAATGTGGTGGGCATTTGGAATAGTCATTAGGAAAAATGAGAGTTGAAAATTGAAAGTTGAAAATCAATCACAGGATTGATGAGTGATGCTCAGGGTCTGGCTGAGGTTGGAGATCATGAATTTGTAGTGATGAAGTCTGCTCGATTGGGTGATTTTCTCTATCAATATGTAACCACTCAGGTGTAAGGGGAAAAGCATAACACTGAGCCAAATTTGGAGTTTTTCTGGGGGATAAGCAAGTAAGGAAAATAATATATGATATTGGTAAGAAAATAATTTAAATCATCAATCAATCACAGAATCCAGGCTGTAGCTGGAAAAGAGTGATAGACTGGAATAAAATGACTGATTTTCAAAAAGGAGATTTCTGTGTGGTTAAAGAGCAATTGTTACAGGATTGAGGAGTGAACAAGCCAAAAGTTCTTTGGTTACGATCACCATTTCCGACGTGCAACAGCTCCAGAAATGATTGGGTCTAGAATGGTAAAGGATAGTGGTGGTTGACGTGGTGTAGAGATTTAAGGTCATCAGAATTTATACCATCAGGGGACACTGGGGCTTGAGAGATGGGCAGACCTTGACGAGACCGAGAGGATGTTAACAGAAATACCATGAACAAGTGCCCAGGTCCACAGTGACTAAGTGGGAAGGTTGACAGATGCTGAGTGACACAGATATACATTCAGTGAATTTTAGGCCTGAATTGGGTGCTTTGATAATACCAAATAAATGTTAAAATGAGTTCTTCAAGAATAACATCATGAGCTGAGTAAAGACAAGCAGACCGGCGTCAAATTGGGACTCCACCTCATTTGACTTAGTCAAGTTAAACTCTTAAAGCCTCGATTTTACTATTTGTAAAATAGGCATGAGACTCATACAGGGTGATAATCCAGCCTACCTCCATAGGGTGGCAGGGGGATTAACTGAGATGACACAAATTAAGTACTTGGTCCTTGGCACATGGCAAGCACTGAATAAAAGTTAGATCCAATAACAGTGATAGTTAACGCTTATGCAGCACTTGCTATATGCCAAGATTATT